CACACACACACACACACACGCATATTTCTTATTTATTTTACATCACATAATGTATATGCAAAGTTAAGTCATATCTCCGTGAATCACTTTGTAAGTATCTACAACCGGCACACTCGCGTGTGTGCGTGCGCGTGGACCACGTCCCACGTGTGTATGTGCGTGTATACGGAGATGGTGATGCCGAGAGCCGGCGCGAGGCGCGACGCGAGACGGTCTGTGGACTGTGGTGATGGTGAATGTTCGGTGCGTTGTGCACTCTGTGCAGTGAGCTGAGTGAGCAGTCTATTCAGTCTACTGGCTCAGTCCATTGGGAGGAGTCGCGAGAATATGAGGTTCATTCTATCGCTCGTGATCCTCTTCGGAGCGTGCGCGTGTCACGCTGACGACGACGAGCTCGAGATCGGGATCAATGAGATCGATGGCGGCGAATCGGTGCCACGTGAGACGCAACACGCGCGCAACACCACGCTCGCCGAGATCTTCGAGAACGCGGTCCAGGCCTATCTCGAGGAAGATTGGGACGGCTGCGTCGCGGGATTTAACGATGCTCTGCATGGGTACGTTACGATTATCCCGCCACAGTCGATATTCTCTTCTCCGTGAGCACTCAAAGTATCCCATCAGACAGCACGCATGTACAAAATCGGGACATAAGACGTCTTTTAGTCATTTTTAAAACATCTTTAACATTTTTTATGTCCCGATTTTAGATATAGTGCTGTCTGGGATATTAATTCCACAAGATATTTTTTAAGTCTTTACTTTTATGCTTTAAAGGTTTGTTTCAAGATTTTTAAAATTAAGTTTTTTCGGAAATCTCGTCTCAAGGAAAATACATATATGCGTAAATTTTAGAAGAAAAATTATTCATGCACGCTTAATGTATATTAATTCTATAAGATGCTTTTACATTTTTATGTCTGTACTTATTAATAATTTACACGCGTAAATTTAGAAGAAAAATTATTCACGTTAGAAGAAACGCTTTTTGGAGTGTTTGAAACTTAGCGCGTAACTTTTCTTAAAGGAGAGGGATTCTTCATTTCTTTACGCATTTATATATATATATAATTATTAATATAAGCTTACATGTGTAAATTTTAGAAGAAAATATTTTTTACGAGAAAGACAAGTTTTTGAAAAAAGAAATAATAGCTAAAAAGAACAGCTAAAAAGAATAAGTAGTCGTACATGACACACAATATAATTAGCTATTAAATACTTTAATTTAATAAAAAAACGACCGATATAATAATACTTAAATTTTCTAAAAAAAATTTAACGAGGTACATCCATACTATAAAACTATTAATTAAAATTACATTTGTTTATTATTTTATTCATTATTTTTTAAAACAAAAAATAATATAAAATGTTTAATAGTTTTGCAATAAAAAATAAGGTAAAACGAATATTGTTAGAATTATTATTAGAATATTATAGATTACATATAGTAAAAGAATATTGGACATTTTTTTCATTAAAGTATTTAATCACTTTTTTACTTATCTAAATAATCTAACTATAAGTTTATTTATTTTTTCTGGCGGAAGACTCGTCTACTTCATTTTCTAAAATAGTCCACAGCTTAGTTTTGGGAAACAGGCTTGATGACCGTATTCAATTTTTTTGAAATTAAACAATGCTGTGTTAATTATAACTGTGCTAAATATAATACCTATTTATTTTTAAATTAAGGAAAAATATTGAGTAAGGCATGAATCGGACTTTTAACTAGTAATTTTGCTGGAATATTTTTAAATTTTATATGTGGTCTCAAACTTTTGGCCAGCAGTGTAAAAAGAATTTTTTTGTATTGAATATACAATACATATTACACACATTATCAATTTATATTATGCTTTGAATATTGGTTGCACTGCATAATCAATCCGTATAATAAATCTGTATTTTTAAGAGGTTACATACGTTTTTGACAGGGCTAAAACTAGGTCAAAATTAACGAATTTTTATTGTGGTAAAATTATATATTTTTAAAATAAAAATACATATTTTGTAAAGTAGTCTTTTGAGAATATCTCCTAAAAATTTCAATAAAAAAATATCAAAAATTGAGGTTCTAACAGCTATTTTCCCAAACAGTCTTTGTAAAAACGGCGTTTGCGATATCAGAGATATGTATCTCCCGCCCCTCCCATGCATGTGAAACAAAAAACAAAAATTTTCCGTTAAACTAGATGAAGAAATCTAGTGCTTATCACAGTCAATTTTGAAAATATTGAATTTTCAAAAAATGGCAGCGATTCGTAGCAAAAAATGTGATTTTTGACTTAAAAAATTAATCTTTTTTATTTATAAAAAACTAAGCCATAGATAAAAAATCCTATGACAAGCACTAGATTATTGTATTGAGAGTAACTGTAATAAAAAATTTCATGCAAATTGGTTCACTAGTTTCCGAGATATTTCTGGTATCTGATTTTTAAAACACTGTTTTGGGAAAATAACTGCCAAGACCTCAATTTCTGATATTTTTTATTAAAATTTTCGGAAGATATTTTCAAAAGACTATCCTACACAAGACATGTATTTCCATTTTTTGATAAAACACTTTTACCTACAATAAAAATTCATTAATTTCGACCTAGTTTGAAGTTTCTATCAAACGTATGTAACCCCTTAATGTAAATTTGCGTAATATTTTACAGATATAAAGTATATAAACGAATGGTGACAATTTGCCGGCGAAAATGTAAGGCCGAGGTGGCAGGTTCCTCGCCAGTCTTCGCGGAAGATATCGAGGATATGCACTTTTACGAGAAAAAAGTGAGGGAGACGCTTTGTTTAATGAAATGTAATCAAGATTATCGAGAAATCGCAGGTGCGGGGGCGCTTAAACGACTCCTACACGCCACGGAGAGGAAATTTGTCGACCTTGCCATCTACGAGTATCTCCATATCTGTTATTTTCAGGTATGAAAGTGCTGTCTATTTGACCAAAACACTTTAAGCAATCAAATTCTGCGAAAATCTTTCACATAAGTTACAAAAAAGTATATGTTGCATTATTAAAGTGTATATTTTCCATTTCGTATTACTTAACGCTGATATAATTTGTGTTTGTATTTATAATGATTTGTTATTATCTATGCAATATAATTGAACGATAAAACATGAAATATATTTATTTTATTATATTTCACATTTTATCTAATTAACAATAATCGCGATATATAGCTCATGCAATATTTCAACTTTAATTTAATTTCTGTCATTCATTTCTTTTAACCGATAAACTTAATTGCGTTGTTCAGATTTGTCTTTCTACAGAGACACGTGTCTCTGCTCGCCTACGAAAGATGCCGTAGAAAAACATCACGAAAATACCAAACTCCCCGAGTACTAATCTGGTGGATTACGCAATTACGGCGTAGCAGATATATTCTGCCTGCGTTTGCTGCGTAAATTATGAGTTAAACAACTCGCGGCTTAACCCGAAAACCGATTTGTATCATCGCCTTCACTCATTTAGATAGCGTTTATTTTCGAAAATTTGCGCATCGTCGTTTATAATCCCAAATCAATGGAAGATATCTCAAATCTCGATATTTTAATTTAAAAAAATCGCCATTTTAAATTGAAACAAATTACCAATAATATTTATGTCTGCAACATTGAACTGAAACATAATTTTTTATTTTCCGTTTTGTATCTTTGTACGGAAGAAGGAAGAACCTTCATATCATCTGCTATCAAAATTAGCATCCCAGTATATTTCGTACACTTCCGGCATAACGATTGTGATATGCCTTTTATTAAGATAATGTAAAATGAAATTTAGCTGTGAATAGTATTTGGTACTTATATATATAAACAAAGAATAGATATTATAATTTATATAGCAGATACTATATTTAATCTTGCAAGAATACAATAATCTTTTAAATGTACACAATTATTTTTGCATATAATAATAAAAAATATATATAACAATATAATAATAATAAAAATATATAATCTAATATATCATAAAAATTAAAATAAAATATGTAACATCTATAGAAATATAATTATTAATCCATGATGTAACATAATCAGTGTATACTCGCAAATAATTTTTTACAGAAAAAAAGATATCAAGATGCGGCGGACGCAGCTTTCACCTTTCTGTCCCAGCATCCCGATCACGAGATGACTAGGAAGAACCTGAAATACTACTTGAGTATGCCTGATGTGGCCGCGGAAAAGGTCATGAATTTGGAGGCGGCGCCCTTTGTGCGAAAGTACTTCCGAGGGATTCAGGCATATGAAGATGAGAACTACGCGGAAGCTGTGGCCGAATTTGAAAGTTCGCTCGAATCTTACATAGAATCCGAAGAGGAATGTAGAATCTATTGTGAGGGCCCCTTCGATCAAGGATGGTATCCTGAGTTTACTTCTTCGATAGCAAGTAAGATACAAATTGACTTAATAAAGACAACAAATGATAAAACAAACAAATTCAGATGAGAAAATGTATGTCTATATATATATATATATATATAGTATATATATATATATATAGCCATGCAGAGAGAAGCCTTCTCTCCTAGAATAGACAAAAAACGCCCTAATCAAAACCCAAAACACAAAAATGTTTTGAGGATTGATCAAGACGCTTGGTCAATCCTCAAGATCAACCAGTCAAACTGAGGAGTGACCGCGCTCCGCCCTTTGACTATAACATATATACCTATAATACTATAATTTATGTTTCTTATTAATTCACGTTTGGGCAAGCGCGGAATTTGTTCGATCTATATCTATTTCTACCAATGCGGATTAACTTTAATCTCGGTTTAATTTACTTTTTATCTTTTTCTAATTCTTGAAACTAGAAAAAGATAAAATGTAAGTTATAAGTCGAGATTAAAGTTAATCGGCATTGGTAGAAATGGACTCTAGAGAAATAACTGTTTATTATTGTTGCTGTTATTAATTAACATTAGGTTTAAGAAATGTAAAATATTAAAACTATGTATCACTAGGACAGAATAACAATGCGCATGTGATAAAATATATGCGCGTAATTTCTTATTAATTAGTTTTCTTTGTATTTATACATCATGCATATGTATATTGTATATAAACATTGTATTTGTTTATGATACAAATCTATCAAATTGCATTTTTAATGGATCTAAATTTTTCATTGTATACAATAATTGAAGTAAATATTTCTCATTAAATTTCCAATAAGTTTTCACAGATAAACTACATTTTTAACATTTTTCCCAGAAGAAGTTTAAAGTATAGAAGAGGCTTAATAATTATTTACAAAATATTTCTTGTTTATTTCTTATTACTTTTTCATTTCTTTTTAGACCACTTTGCGTACTGTCTGAAGTGCAAACGTGGATGTTCGCTTGCGTTGAACAACGTGAACGGCAATTTTCAGAATGATTTGCTCAGAAGTCATTATAATTACCTGCAATTCGCTTATTATAAACGTGAGTATTTTAGTTTTGCAATGGCTAATTTTATTATACTGTCTGAACGAAATATTCTTTCTGTTGGTACTTTCTTACTTTTTTAATATTTAATAAATATTTTTTAATATGTTTAATAAATATATTTTTTAAATGGAAGTGGTATGTTTCATATAATATCTTCGGAAAATTGAGTTATTATAAACTGTTTTATTTAAAAAAATTTATTTTTTTATTTGTGTAATAATAGTTACTATCACGACATGAAAGAATTTTTTTTATTTTTGATTAATGTTTTTATGACAAATTATATCATGAGTATACGAAGCTATTGTGTATACTAACTGTATATACTAGGTTGCTCAATTAAATAATATGAATGAGACTTTTGAATTTCTCTTTGAGTTATTCTTTGAGACTTTAGTTATTTTAGTAACAGTCAGTCACGTGGTTATAAACACCCGGTAAAATATTTTTTATACATATAAAAACATGCATAAATATATACATTACATAAAATACTATATGTGTTTGCTTTCTCTTGTATAATTTCTGTTTATATATATAGAAAAAACAAGAAAGAAAAATTAAAATATAATTAAAAGGATAATTTTTACATTGTTTTTTATAAAAAATAAAGTTTTTATAAAAAATAAAGTGAGGAAATGAAAAAAAACAGCTCATATATTCTTTATATAAGTGTAATAATTGCATATAAAATATGATTATATATATATATATATATAATACATACATACATAGAATATTGTATAATCTAATCACAATTTTATGTTTCACAAACAGAAACAATGCATAAGTAATGTTTCTAATTATTTTTCAATTATTCGTCTTATTATTTTTTCTATGTATAGAATTATATCTACAGATACAGAGAGATTATACAAAAAAAAACGAAACACATGTGGACATATTTTATATATATTTATATATAAAATAATAATGTGTTGAAAATGAAAACCACATACTCGCCGGTTTAATAATTTATTGTAAAATAATATATGTGCAGTAACGGTTCGCGAAAGTCAAAATATTTAAAAAATTAGCCCCAAAACAGTGTTTTTTTGCGAGACAACGCTTGACCACGCACGGTCAAGACAACTACAAAAACAATAAATTCTAATTTGAGTTAGGATTTACTTCCTTTATAATCTAGATTTAGCTCTTACGTGATTTTCACCTGTTTTCAAAATTTAAGGCGATGGACTTGGTCAACAATTCAAAGATAACGACGAAATTATTGAAAACGTGCAAAACTAGATATGCATTTAGTCAAAAATCTTTTTTAAATAGGGTATATAGAAAGACTCCCACAAATTTGAGAAAAATGTCTCGAACTTCATGATAAATATGTGAAATAAAAAGTATATTATTTCCGAATAAAAGCTTTCTATTGAAAAGAGACATCAGTCTTATTTATATTTAAGCAATCTAGTATAATTTGGTAGCATAATTGGGGCACTGACATAAAATGCAAGTGTCATGAATTATAATGACCTTGTTGCAATGTGTCACCATTCATTAACAGGAGCAAATATTTCAGCAGCTCCATCAAGCTGTCTCCTGAATCATCCTTTGTTAAATTAATTGAACTAATTTCTAAATTGTAGATGTTCAACATCATTTCTAAAACTGTCATGTCTCTTGCATCCTTCGTACTAATTTGCACAATATTTATTTGTACTTCAACTCGTATTATTTTAGGAAAATGTTATTTTAATTCTTTCTTTTTTCTCCTACTTTCTTTTTCTCCTCTCTCTGCCAACTGAATTTTTTAACAGTTTGATATATAAAATCCAAATATTTGCATAAATATATGCACATGAGTCAAATGAATGGATGAAAGCATATAAAAAGTATATATAAGTAATAATTTTCATTTATTTTATGCCTAGTGGGTAATTTGAAAGCAGCTTGTGCAGCAGTAGCGAGTTACTTGTTATTTTTACCTGCCGACGAGACAATGCTTCATAATAAGGACTATTATAGCCTTCAACCAAAAGTAAAAGAAGAGTATTTCACGCCAAGGGAGGTATGTGAAAAGATAGAACTATTAAAAATACAAGCTTCTAGAATAAGTGATATAAATTTAATATCTGTAAAAAAATTTCTAAGGAAAATATCTAAATTTTCATGTACGTTGGAAAAATTCATAATATTTATTTTCATACACAATATTCCAAAGGATAGATTGTAAATTTTCAACACTTAAAATAAGTGAAAATTATTTGAATAAGTGAAAAAACGTTAATAGATTCGTAAATTTAATGAGGATCGTACTTAGGAAGCGCTTTCGTATGTGAAACGGCAAGAATACGAGCTGATGCTGCTGCATTATATATCGAAGGAGTTCGCGGAAATCGACGCCAGATTTAGCGCGTTCACCAAGAAGACAAACGATAAGAAGAAGACTGACGAGAAGGAATTAGGAAAGGTAAAAGATGAGACATGAGTTTGCAACGAAAATACCTGATAAATAAAATTACTTACAAATAATGACTATCTTCCGAGATCATTTATTTGTCAATCGATCTATGCGGATCGAGAAGCGTAAGAAACCCTTTATTATAAGCTCCATTTCGATTTCTTTTTCAAGTACGACGCACGAATAAATCTGACCATCAGATATCGTGCCTAAACCGATATCAGCTAGAAAAAGTCGGTGAATTATGCTGTTCGAATGCATTTAATACTGAAATATTTTTACTGTACCTTATGTTATACACATTTATACCCGAGAAACAATAAAATATTTAGAAATCAATTTGCCTTTATTATTGTCGAAATTTGATAAAATAAAATAACGAATAAAACTGAAGAAAGAGATATTAAAATTAAAATAATATTGCATACGGTGTATCTCTATAAGTCCCTCGTTTGAATCGCCTGTTTAAATGCAACCCTATTTACTTTTGCGTTCATATCTGCATAAAAGTGCAGGCGCAAGGAAAAATTTTCGCGAAGCAAGACGACCGATGAGGAAAGAAAAATGAAAAGAAAAGTCCAATTTCTATCTCCAATGTCGCGTTATTATCTCAGTGTCTATGTATATTTCATCTTTTGCTTCTTTAGGATTCTTTCTTGACGCCAATCTTGCATCCGCCTCCAGGTCACTCGCCATCCATCCGGATACGACTTGTGGGTAATTTGTCAGCGTTCCGGGACAAGGAGGAGACAGAGATACGAGAAGATCACATCATGGAGCGGTTAAAAGTCACGGACGACGCGCGATTGATAGCAGCGGAAGACGAGCTCGGTGGAAAAAACCGCTACGCGGCCGACGGTTTCCTCAATTCTACCGATTGCAATCTGCTCATGCGACTTGCCCAGGTATCGGAATCGGCTCACGTGACTGATCAATTCCGAATCACGGCTGCAAGACGTTTTTCTTTTTAAGCGTTTCCTTTAGCATCACGATCTTGATAAGACTTGAGCAAAAAATTCCAAATAAGCGCAAATTTACGTACCTTTACTAAAAAAAACAAAGGTTCGCATATAGATATAGTATATTCATAAATTCCAGATCGCCGTGGAGGGAGATGGCTACGAAGAAAATAAAAGTCCGCATTCGCCTTACGAGCGTTTCGAGGGTGTGACCGTTGGCAGAATAGCCTTGGTAAGGATCCGTATCCGGAAATATTGACAAAAAGATTGTATGTCCGTATTTCTCATTGTCTTCCCGCATTCATTGCCTGCCGAATCTTCGGCAAAATTTATCGTCTTACAAATTTTACAAAAGAAAAAAAAATTGTAGATGGTCTACTTCGGTCTGACGAAGCCGGAATTGCTGAGGCTATTTCTGCAACGCACGGAAGCAGCTCGCAATCATGTGGAAAGGTATTTCGACCTTGATCGACCATTGTATTTCACCTACACCCATTTGGTCTGCCGAACTGCCTTACCCGGTAATTTTCATCTGACGCATCACCGTGCTTCTGACGACATTTTCGTTGGCATGCTCGCATCATAACACTTGGTACGGCATTAAACATATGTAGACAATCGATCAGATCGTATTCTATATTGATGGATCGGTTCGCTTGATTTCATTTTCATAACTCTTTTTATTAACAAAGCAATCACCAAGATATAAAATATAATAGCAAAATACGTTAATATTTGCCTATCGAACAGTATATATAAGATATCTAAGGAGGACTGAAGAAGATAAGATATATGTATCTGTTAGTTTCAGAAAATTTATTCTATCTTGTTTTCAGACTCGCCGGCGAATCGAACTGATCTTAGTCACGAGATTCATGCTGATAACTGCGTGGTAAAAGACGAAGGTTTCTGCTTGCGAGAAGATTCCGCGTATACTTGGCGGGACTACTCGGCGATTCTATATCTCAATGATGACTTTGACGGTGGCGAGTTCTTCTTCGCCGAGGATTGGAAGAGACGCCGCGTCCAGGGCATCGTTCGGCCCCGGTGCGGACGTATGGTGGCTTTCTCCGCCGGTGGTGAGAATCTTCACGGCGTTCGGGGTGTACGTAGCGGCAGGAGGTGCGCAGTGGCGTTGTGGTTCACTCAGGACGAAAAATACCTGGAGTACGAAAGGGTGGTGGCAGATAGCGTGTTACAGAGAGTCCGCATTTTAGGTACCGTGCAACGCGAGGATACCCAAATACCGCTGAGGTGATGCAGAGAATAGAGTTTATTATACATTCTGTATTTAAAACGTTATGTACGGAAGAAAAGCCAGCAAGCAAAATGATAGCAGTCTGTCAGCAGATTAGTAAATAGATTTGATCAGACATGTCAGCAGATTAGTAAATAGATTTGATCAGACATGTCAGCAGAATGACATCACTGCGTCCGCATTCAGCTTATGTTTAATTAATCAATCTTTAATTAAAAAATTGTATTCTGTTTTTTTGATAGTGCATTCCTAGACCATACATTATTATAGATATCATAAAAAATTTTGGGAGAAAACTTCACAGATAAATAGAGAAATTCATGTTTCCACGTTTGCAAATAATAAGATCATATGAGACAATAAATGCATAAAAATTATAACTAAGAAATAAACACAAAGATAGAAAAAATAGTTGCAGCGGTGATTGTTGAATAATATAATGTAGGATTAAGGATTATATATATATAATGGTTTAAAGAAGCTGAGTATATTTCTACAAAAATTCTATTTCCTCCTGAGTTTTTTTATAGATCAAATAAAGTGTAACGTTCTGTTTTAGATATGAAGACACGCTGATCCAATGTTTCAAAGAAGATAAGACGTTGAGGCACATTCTGAGGGAATTCGTGCGAGAAGGCAGCAAAAAGTGGTAATATTAATAGAAATTTACACAAAATATGAGCACCGTTTTACCTGCATTTTCATTTGAATCAGAATACACATACGTTCAAGTGTTGAAGCAAGAAGAAGGGAAGAAAAGAAGAATATGGCAGATGCAATTCAAATTAACTGAACTGATCAATTCGTGACTTACAAAGACAGATGGAAGTGATTTATAGTTTGATAGATGAAAGTCTAAAAAATAGCACATATTCCTTCATGAATGGCTGGACCATGAAGCTGATGATTCAAGAGTTATCTAATCGTATTTTATAACGATAAATTATAGATCTATAATTAGTCCGAAACGTATCATGTTAGTATAAATCAGCCGGACAGTCTGTTTAAAGAAACAGACGAGCATAGGTGGTTAATCCCACTCTTATTCGACGAGTAGTCCCCAATTTTTTATTTATACAAGTCCATTATGGGAACGTGCAACGATGATGTGGGATTTGTCTCACCAATCTTGCTGCGTTCAATTTAATCAAGTTTCTAGTCTGCACGTACAATACAATGCATAGACTTACATCGCATACCTCGCACACACGCCCCGTACGTAGTCAGTTATCTCTAAATTATTTTGCTAATTAATATTATTTTACGTAGCAAAGTATGTGTATAAGCGTTGTCGTCGCAATTGCACCAACTGCAACAACTGTTTATAGAAAATATCCTAAATCTTTATTAGAACATGGACATATTACATGTCAACAAGTTTACATAACCGCTCGCTATGTATCACGCAATGTTTGCATCGCATCGTTAATTTATAGTCCTCGTATTTATACTATGTATAAGAAGTTACGCCTGTGTTATATTCGCGATTGCGTTGCAGTCCTCTTTCTCCTTCTTCTCTTCTGTTTTTTCTTCTTATTCCCCTTACCGCGCGATGAGTTGCGCATACATGGTGGACACTTTATACACGCGTCTCTTTGTAAAAATCAATTCCGTCGATTAAGCGTGCGTATAGTAATACTAAATCGTTCGTAATTACTAACACATCTACATCTCATCGAAATGATCGACATCCGCGATCTGTCCGTATTGTTATTGCAATCGTGGGACAAATAGAAGAAATTCGTCAGCGGACAAAGTGAAAACGATTTAGAATGGAGAAAGGAAGATAGAGGATAAAAATTAAAACCCAAATTCTTCATTTCTCGAGAAAATTACGTTTGAAGGGATGTCCCGCATGGATGGAGTTAGATTATTGGAACCAAGTCTTCCCTCTTCTTTCTAAAGAAAAGAGGAGGCTTGTTCCAATAAACTTGACTTTGTCAAGATCACGAATCTGAGTAATCTTTAAAAAGTTTTAGTCATCGCTCATTGTTAATTAAAAAGATATTAACGAATACAATGCAATATGCAGACAAGTATTGAATGCGAAGAATTCCATTAAATATGAATTCTATAGGCCCATTGTCCCATTTTACTTTTCCCAGGCGAATTACGCGAAAACTGAATTCAGAAGGTAAAAATGTTTCAGACAAAAATTGTATGGTCTGGAGGGGAACAAATAATGGTAAAATAAACTTTCGAAAAAATTGTTTTGTTAAACTCACGATCGCCATTTTTAAAAATGGATTTATATAATTTTTTAAATATAGAATTTAGAATTATATGATTTCTTTACATAATGATTGTTCTGCTAGTTATTTTGCATGTAAAAGAGTATTTTTTTACACCAATTGATTCGTCTCATTATTCCGTGTATAAAAATATAAGTGAACTTGATTAAGGTACTGTTATCAAAATAATTTTACCTTGTGTCAAAATATGCTAGAATAAAGTATAAAATATCTCAAACTATTAATTTTTTGATAACTCTACTTTAATACTTTTATATGCCGAATAACGTGGAATCATATTATTATGTAAAAGAATCCAAAAGTATAATTCCAAATTCTTTCTAGTTCGTTTCTAAAAGATGCTTATTTAGCATCACGATTATTAAACTGATTATCAATATAATTATGTATATACTTCGGCTTCAGCTTGAGACTGTGTTTCAAGACTGACATTACTCGGCGCGCAGTTTGCTGAGCTGGAAAAAATGTATACGTAAAAATATTATTAGGCACAAAGATCCAGCCCGACTGTAGAAGGCATATTTCTATTACTTGTGTTATTCTCATAAACGATCAAGTTCTCGTTATTCATATAATTTCATTTAAAAAATGGTGATAACCTTCATGTGATCTTAAAAAATCCATTTTTCCGAAAATTAATCATTATTTTTTCCCTTCCAGATCATACAAATACTTTTGTCTGAAATACTTTTGCCTGCTGGGCTCTGAAAATAAAATAGGATACCCTGTATGTTACTTATTGTATATTCATCAAGTTAATGAAAAGGAGCTGCGCTTATTACCGTTGAAACCTAACTTAAAATGCTAATATAAAAATTTGAAAGTCCTTTTAGTGTATTTAATGTGAAGAATGTTAGGCTGAACCGTGAATCTCTAATCTCAAATTAAAATTAGATTAAGTCAGGTCAGGTAGAAATGTTTATTAAAAAGAAAAGGCGATATCTCTATGCTGTTTTTCTCTATCCGTATTTACTTTACAATAAATATAATACGTATAATGTAGAATTCATAATCAGTAGGACTTTATTTTATGTGTTAATAACTTTTTAATAAACAATAAGCGACAAACTTCGAGTTTATTCAGAATCATGATCTTGACGACATATATCAAGGCCATTCGAGTTGGGTCCCTTCTTCTGTAGTATTACTGCCTACGTGCAGATTCACATAAGAATCATCAGGATTTCTACTTTAAAATTGAAATAAATGTACGAGGAGAAAGAACGGATTCGATGAATCATTTACGAGAAAACAATTCTTGAAGTTAGCGTAATGTACATGTTTCAGGTCTGTTGTTTTAACGGCATTACACCCAAATGCATAATCTTCTTTCTTTCTTTTTCTGAAGTTCAAATATAGATACCCAGATTGTCGGATTCGTTTTTACTCCTCTGGCTATCGTAAATATTAAAATTATTAACTAAACGTGTATAAGAGATACGCAACAAGATTGCGGTAACTCAATGTAAAACACAATTGAAGAACGTGAGTTTTACTCCTGTATCCCTCGTGGCTCCTCGTTGTAATCGTTCGCCGTCATCGTCATTTCAAGATTCAGTCGGGAAGAAAGTGATAACGTGATTACGATACATCGTGACGTGCATATATATGTGTGTGTATGTGTGTGTGTTTCAATACAAACGTTTATTACAAAATTATAGTGACATCTGCGTATCACAGGAGAACTCAGTCGATTCTTCACTCCATCGTCATCGCATTATTCCAATCCTGACACGCGAATTTTTCAACGCGAAACAAGCTACATAGCTGGAAATAGTTACGACAATACCGCTCGTGCCGCGTTAATAACGGAATAAAGTCTAGAAAAATTTTTTCTATTATTCGAAGAGATATTCGAAGATAAACGAAAGAGAAAGACCATATCTACTGGTCCTCACTACTCGATACCAATCAACGCAATTGAATCTCGATTGGAGTGGTCACTCAAGTTTCGTCATAGGTCACAGATGTTTTTGTATTGCCCTTCGTATAGACCTTGGTGTATCGCCCCTCCCTGCATAATGATTACAGTTAAAAAGCAATCTTAAAAGTGACGCTTTCGTGTCAGTTCGTAAAATGATAGGCGCGCAGAGAGAGAGAGAGAGAGAGAGAGAGAGAGGGAGAAAGGCGTAGAGAGTTCGCAGGAACGCTGAGACGTAACAATATATATATAATGACGGTATTTATATAATAATCTTTTACTGGTCGTAATGTTTCTTTCCAACAACGGGAAGTATAAGAAACGATATTTCACGTTTAGCAAGCGGTTGTAACGATGAAGATATAAACTGGTGTATCTCAGTGCCCGTTGACTCTTCAACTTTCGAGGTGCCGTTTAAACGAACTTTCTCTCTAAAGATCATCGATAAGATTAATAGTTTCGCGTAGAGGAAAATTGATCTCTTTTAGACCAGAGACATCGATTATCGCTTGTCGTCGATGTAAAAACGGAAGAGAAATACCGTGTGTGTCGGATTGTATGATTTCGAATCAGGCTTCTTACAAGAGTTACATTATTTCGCAATCTTATGTACATATATAAGATTATGTACGCTATGTATACGTCGTATATATTACGTCGCATATCTAAGAAAATCGATTCCGCGATTTTTTGAAGTGTATCTGGATGTAACAAAATATTCGGAGAAACGAATGATATAAAAAACAGTTTTGTCACTTTGTAAAAATGGAAAATATTTTATCAATAAAAGATCGACATTTAACTCATTAACAGCCAAAGATTCACTCTTAGGATAAGAATTTTATATATATTTTTTTTTAAATAAGAAATAGCAGTAATATATATGTATATGTATGTTGTATGTATATATAGATGTTTCTTGAATAATACCCACTAATTATATACCGCTAGTTCTTACAAAAGACTGAATCGAAGAGTTCTGAACAAGTCATGATCTTTTTTTTATAATGCTTAATGAGCAGCTTAATTATTGAGTAAAGTTAATCTATTTAGTGAGCGTTCCGTTGCTAAGTCGTCAAGTATACTATCAAATGCGCGGCTCATTGACGTAGGTAGGTTTGTCTAAAGAACGATTGAAATAACTTTACTTACTAATTACTACTTCATTAAGCATTATAGAAAAAACATTTTGACTCAATTTTAATAAAGAATAGCACTATATAATTAGTAGGCACTATTTACGAAATACTTTGTATATGTATAATGAATAAAATAGTTTCAGCAATAATTTTTCTTTTGCGGTATCTAATTCTTTCTTTCTAAATACATCAAGTCTTTCTATAAAAAAATTCTAATTATGTATTATCTCTTGTAAACAGAATTTACAATTCGAGGTTATTAGGCCAAGAAGTAATTAATCGTACAAAAAAAAACCAAAAAGTTCATATAAATATATGATTTACCGTTATCCAGTTACATAAAATAAAAAATAAAAATTATTTATTTTGTAAATCGTTTCAATTTTGATATCTTGATAATCGTGATTGACTCTATGACTTTAGAACGTATGAAAAGTTGATCATTCATTGAAGTAAATTTTTTAATACAACGAACAATATTACGTTATAATTAAAAATTAAATAATTGTTACCAGCTCATCGAGGAGACCCGTAAATTTTTACTAGTCATGTTTAAGCAAGTCATGTCGACAAGTTCTTATCTTAAAATAAATGTTCAATGTGATTTGTCTGCATGCAGGCCCGAATTCTTCTCATCGATTCTTGTGTATGTGAGAAACTTCTGGATCTCCTCGTATTTCATTATACTTATAGGATTATTTGAAGTCACTTGTATGTTTAATTTCAATCCGAAACTTGAATGATCTAAAGGAACACATTATAAATGGGTATGATAAAATATAAAGAAATCCAAAAGTTTTTCAACGTGTCGAGAATTGATGTGGTGAAAGCTCCATAACTCAATAACAGTAAGACATACATTTAAGTAAGCCTTTTTGCTTCTTTTTTTACGACTAATGATTTCCTAAAATAATGATCTCTAGTTTTGAATCATCCCACTCTTACCCTCTCTCACACATTGAGTGTGTGTATGTGAAAGAGACAGAGGGTAAGGGTGAAGGTGATTTAAAACCAGAGATCATTATTTTAAGAAATCATTAGTCGTAAAAAGAAAGCAAAAAAGCTCACATAAATGTATGGCCTACTGTTAATGAGTTATGGAGCTTTCACCACATCGATTTTCGACACGTTAAAAAGCTTTTGGATTTCCTTATATTTTACTACATGTGTATGTATATATGCGTAAAGAAAAAGAGAGATTGTGTGTGTCGCGTATGTGTAGTATTCAAAAAATAAAAACAATTTTGCTTTAACTATGTTCGTCTATATTATGGCTTTTAATGGGTTAAATTGCACCGTAATAGATAATCTAAAGATATGTTTAGAGAAAACAAAATTATTTTTGAAACCAATTGTATATTGCACACGATAATAAGATTATTATTACAATCAACTGTCATTTTTTTTTTTTTAAATATGATTGTGATATATATCCTATACACGAATTAAATCTGTCAAATCAATTCAGTTCGGAACATTTGCGATTGTCACAATTAATTTCCAATTAATTGATAATTGATCAATGCCAAAGTAAACTTGATACAATAAATCACCCGTTGAATAATGCCTTCCGGAAATTGACTTACTCGTTGAGACTCAATGTTTTTGTATAAAATACCTTAACGTTAGTTCGTGATACCTCGTAAATTGTCAATTAAATTAATCAATTTGTATAAAGTAATGAATGTGACGTGTGAACAAGTATTATATAACTATAACGAGAATACGTTCTTACAGGCGAAAACGGAACGCGCCACAATCGCAATAGGTACGAAACTTTCAGCATTTTACGTATAATACTAAGAATCTCAGTTTGAAACATTTAGATAAACGACCCTCGACGTTCGCCGTTAGCTAATACCTAAAGCTAGGATCCTGTTATCGATGTCGAAAATTGTGTTTTAACATTTAAACGTTCAAAAATACAGAATCGTATTTGATTCGTCTTGCATCCAACATGTGCTAACGTTTAAAAAAGTATCGTTGATTTAAACTCTTTATTTCTATTCCTCCCGCTATCGCTCCTCGCTCGTCTCGTTATTTCCACCGGAGAAACAGTTTTTACTCGCGTCTTATTATACAGCTACTATTTAATATTATCTTCGCGCGCATAGAAATACAACTAAAAATTGGCGTACGTGCCAGAATCTCTTCGTCGAAAAGCTTGCGCGCCACGCGCAAAGCAATATAACCCTTCTTTCCAAAGTATAAATGCTAAACATACATATACTTAATCGGCATTTATATGTCGTTTATATTTTTTTCTCTTTCCGCGCCAGTTATATAACATATAATGATACATAATGCTAACATATTGCATTAAAATAACACAGAACGTAACAATAAAATAAAGAGTTGTACATTGTTTCAAGAGAGGATTTAAAAAAAAAACGCGACGTATTTTGATTATGTAGAGAGAGAAATTGTCAAATGGCGGAAGTTATCGTGTCGGAGAGTATGCTGGACACCAAAGATCTTCGTGTGAGAATCTCTCTCGTTCGACGAAAGACTGCTCGCATGTTTACTGCGTTCTATCGTAGAAACTTCGTTAAAACAGTAGTATTATTATTAGTTTAGTACGGTAGTACCCTAATATGCGGGAAATATATAAAAAATTAAAAAATATACGAGTTATATATATATAAAACACATAGAATGCATATTCGTCGTAGCGCATCTTGCATCAAGTCAGATTTTTGTTGCTATCTATTCCTTCTAATCGCAAAGTCACAAATGATCGACTTGCACTTAATATCAGCGCATTTAGCGTCGAACGTGTCGTCTTACACCTAAATTTCCTAACTGTATGTAATTGTATGTTCCCGTCGAGATAAAATATAGTATGGCTTAACACAAATGAAGACTTGAAACGTTCGGCATTGAACGCGCAGAGAGAATATGGATCAAGTTCGATTATTTTGGAAAAGGCATATCATTTCGGCTATAAGATGCCTTTTCCACTATCTACGTTTCACAGTACACGATTTTTATAAAAAGATCCGTTTGATCTTCGGCTGATGCACACTTTGGTATCCAACAAGCTTCTCCACGCGTAATCGGAATATGAACGATCGATAGTCGTGATATGGGCAGTGAATGATTAAGCAAGTACCAATATTAAATGGGCTGGCTCTCCCATTGAGGCGCCCATTCTGGAAGTCGTCAATCTGCATTAGATGGCGGCGCAGCGTATCTCGAACGCGAATCCGAGTCCCCGTCGCATATATATTTTCCTGAAACAATTCAACCGTCGATAACTAGTCAAGTCACGAGAATTATGGTCATCGACAATCTTTTTTCTTTTTATTAATAAATAAGTAGTTCGGAAAAGGGCAAACTCCTTCACAAAAACATTCTTTTAGAAAATTCAATGTTTAAACTTTACCTTAGGACAATTATTAAGTTTAACTTTTTACAATTTTTTAAGCAATTTTTAAGCGGTTTTTTAAAAAAAGTATCATTTTTGGAACAAGATAACAGAATAACAATCAGGAAGTTAAATAGCTGTTATTTTGTAAATACACAGAATAAAATAAATTAAATACTGCACTATAAGAGAAACGTGTCATTAGCACATAATAAAAAAGGGATATTTATGAACGTGTAAAACTAAACATTCTTAAAAAAGTTGAAAATTTGATTGGTTACATGGCTTAACAATATATTCGTAATTTAAAGAAAAATTCACTTTAGGAAATGTTCAAAATATTCTCCATACAATAACAAAGTGTCTATTAAAAAATGTTACCAACATTTTAAGACATTTCCGATGTTACTTTACGGTATTCATCCTTTATTTTTTTATGTAGATCTCGCGTGGAATTCGCGTGGTATAAATTTTACTTTTTAAGTGTTCCTAAAAAAAAGATTTAATGGAGAAAAATAAAAAATCTTGCAAGTCATTCAATCAAATCTATTTCAAATTTTCTATTTTAATACTAAAAATTTCCAAATGCAATTTCTTGAAAAACACTTGAAAACCAAAGGACCCCGTATAAAAAATTTTTTTGAAGGAGTAGCTACCAAAGGGATGAAACAGCATGATTGAATTTATCATTTATCATAATAATACATCATGTTTAAAAACAAACAATGTGTTTCAACATATTTCGCACAAATCAGTTGGTTTTAAAACAGGAAAGTTTTCGTTGGTTTTTGGGTACGTGTGCATGCGTATATACAGGGTGTCTGATAATAGGTGTAACACCGCTCATGAGTAGATGAAGTGGGTTAAACTGAATAGAAAAGTCCTCTATTATTTTACAATTTTTGTAATTATCGAGTAATTAAATAATTAACATCACCGTACATCTGCGACAACAGGCAGCGTTTGCTTACTAGACGCACGGCGAGGCATTGAAAGGAGTGCTCTGTCAATAATGGAAATGTACGATACCATGGAAAATATGGTACAATAGAGTATATTTTCTATGCCACGAAATTATTTCATTTTGATAGAAAAATACACGGGTAATTATAGCAGGAGTATCACACGTCGCATCGTAGCCGTTATTTACAGAACGCTCCTTTCAATGCCTCGCCGGAGATGTCACGTGATTACCAAACACTCTGTATATAACATATATTCTATTAATAAAATGTCTTCTATAACGTATTATCTCGTTATATCTTTAAGTGGCACAAAAATTACACTCTTCACATGCTTTATATTCTTTTGCGTGAATCATGCAGTGAAGAATGCATTGAAGGATGCCTGATTATCTGATTAACGTACCGGATACAAATTTTCGCTTCACCAAGCTCAATCGGTATCCAGAGCCTATAAGCTCAAATTCGACACCCGACAATGTGGTCCCTTCGCAATTGAATTGAGTGAATATCGTGCCCTGATTGCCTGGGCCGTGTTCGAGTTCGACTCGCGCTTTCAGAGATCCGACTCCGTTACCCTCGCTGTGCTGCGAAATCTCCGTGAATTTCCATAGTACGCGATTCGTATCGGGGAGCCACTGTGCCGGCGGTTTGCTGTTGAGCGACTTGAAACCGCCGTCGATGGGCGCCGCAACATGGAGATTCAACAAAGGGCTCGGCGAGGCCATAGCGCGACTGTTGTATTTATAATCGATCTAGAATCGAAAACAATCTAATTTGTAATGGCTGCCACATCAAACGAGATAAAGAGATGAAATTGTCGCTTTAAGTTTCTCATATTATTTCTTAATGAGATAATAGGGATGGCCGGGTACCTTGAGATCGGTATGGGTCGTTTCACATTTCCAATATGCGACCAATTGAAAAGGGCACGAACCGGCGCCTTCTTTGCATTTTATCTGGTACTTGAGAATGTCCACATTGAAATACGAGGCCGAGGGATTCTGTTCAGCTTGCCGCCGTAGCAACAAAGTTAAGGCACTCATGTTGAATTCAAAGATTGTACTGTCGACGGTAGTCTGAGTTGCGTCCCTAGAAGCATCCCTTTTCATCAAGCTGCCTTCTCTCGATTTAAGGATCGGCGATTAGACCAAAATGACTTACATGCTGATGAGCTGGCTGTTCGGCAACAGCCTCTCCAGCCTGTTGGTGTTCCTCACGCGGAAGGTTAGCTTGGCAGGACTGGGATTGTTCGCCAGGACCGTGACGATGCCGGCCGGAAACGAGAGCATCATGTCACCGCTCAGCTTCACCTGGCAGCGGGTCTCGTCCGTGCCGCGGAAATAGGAATGCACTATCTCGTGGAACGCCACCGCTAGCGGGATGGTGTCAGCTAGGCCGATCGTGAGTGGGGACGGTCCTCGCGAGGAACCCACGCCTACACCAGCGGTACGAAATTCTAGGCTGGCGACGCTGTCGGCGCGGGATATCGTTGCGGGTGACATTCTGCCGCGCGGCGACGGACCCTCTCCTCGGCGCGACGGCGGTCTGGGTATCACGATCGATCCCGTCGGCGTCGAGGACGCGGACTGCTTGGGCGGTAAGGCCGGCGTGATGTCTCCAACTTCCGAAAATAAATCCCCATCTAAAACAAGAAAAAATCATGTTAATTCTTTTTTATAAACTCTTGCCTCCTCTTGTTCCTAATTTCGCATACAAATGAAAAACCTGTTTCAATTTACATACATCGCTATACCGAGTTTAGCTATAACAGCAATTGTAAAAATCGACAGCTACCAGATACTACGCGATATTAATTATCTATCACTGCAATTATGTTGGATGACGTTAGATGTCAGACGGTATAATTTCTTATGTATGATATTCGTGACTCATACCTTAGTAATTCTTTTTTCGCACGTATACGTATCATAATAAATAAGTTTAGCCGCCGTTTGGGGCGCCGTTTGTCACAAGTTTCGCAAAATTTAATTTATTCGCACCCTCGATGGTGACTTAGTAAATTTGTATCTTCCTGCCATCCGGCAAACGGATAAACTCATTGATAGGGTTTACCTATTGGGAATCGGGTATGAGAGTGTGTAGGCGGTGCGGATTGTGGCGGCGGCGGCTGCGACGGAGTCGGCGATGTGGAAAGTGGCGGTGGGCTCTGCAGCGGGGCATAAGGGTGGCTACCGGTCGGTGTCGATGCGCTCGACGGCGTACTGCTAGGATTGAACAAGTTTAGGCCAAGTAAATCTGAGCTTGGCTTACCTCCTAATTGCTGTGACACTGACTGAGACCTTTTCATGTGATGATCGGAATCGGTATTCGATCCTCTACGTCCCTGTTCGAACATGACATATCGTCAGAAAAGCGACGTGACATCGTATTATTTTCTTCTAATGACACATATACTGCATTTCGAAAATTATAATACGATCAAGAAAGAAATTGCTCGTGAAAAAGCAGGTTACAAAATACAATATCGATAATGTTTTTGTAAGGAAAATGTTGTTTTGATTTAAAATCATTTAAAGAAGATCAACACAGAAAGAATGTTTTGTTATATTTTTATATTTTATATTTAAATTCACTACAAACTTGGAACAACTTGGAAACCAAGGAATTTTTGAAATATAGAAAAGATATTTAACAAACAACGTGATAAAAATTACCAAACAGCTTGGTAATTTTTGAAACATTGTTGAAATTTTACTATATATTTTAGTAAAAGTAATCAAATATATTTTATATTTTATATTTTATATTTTATTTTGTATAATAGATATTAATATTTTTTATTATAATAGATGTTAATCAGAATAGCTCGCATAAAATTCTTCGTAATATATGTTGTCCCACAACTACCATGATTTTCAGGGTAAACTCTAAGAGAAAATTCTCTCTGTGAATAAATATGGTATAATGTTATGTACTATTTTTTAAAACTATAGTACCTATTACTATACTGTATGTATATATAGTATTTTGTTTGTACATTGTAATAATATAATAATCTATATATATAGCTTGTCCGGAAAATTCCTAGAACAATTTTTTATATAAAATATACTAATAACGCTATCTATTAGAGTTTAGACAACGTACATATTATTTATTATACGCTATTGGTAATTACGGAAAATTTTCTTATTCAGACCTGTTTCATTGTTAACGAAAAATCATCACTTTTGTCAGACGTATCGTACCTTTGTCATATTTTAACGAATGGAGCACAAGACAATGCTCCCACTCACATGTTGACGGTTGTCAATCAGTTTTTAGTTAAACGTAAAGTGTCTATAATCATTCATGCCCCGTATCCACCTGACCGGCTGATTTTTTGTTTCCCCAAGGTAAAAATGTTCATAAAAGGAATTTATTATGCATTTTATAATTCTGTAAAGGAGATCCAGACTGTAGTGACAAAACATCTAAAAATAATTTCAGAATAGGACTTTTCCAAAGCCTTTCAGAGGCTTCTGAAATAGATATAAGATGTGTATAAAACAGAAAAAGGATTATGTTGAAAACTGAAAAAATGTTCTATATCTGAAACTTGATTTTTATCGAATTATTCTGGGAACTTTCGGTACAAACTGTGTATATATTAAATAAATCAAAAACGGCCAAATTTCGAGCAATTAAAGGATGTTAAAAATATATTTAATAACTTCGATAAAAATATACAATCATGTTAACGTTTCGAGCCTTACTTGGCCTTCTTCAGAACAAATATATTTTCAACATCCTTTAATTGCTCGAAATTTGACCGTTTTTTATTATTTAGCTGTTTTGCTTAGTCGAGCAAGATCATATTGTTATTGTGTATATATTATTATATATTTATATATCTTTCACATTTTTATATATATATAACTTGCTTTTTCAGTGAAAATTCATTCTCAATTGTATCGCGTCGTCTTATATTGTAATGACATAAATATATTCTGCATATATAATACTAGATATATATATATATATATATATATATATATATATATATATATATATATATATACATTTACAATGTTTAAATAATCAAATAAAGGTATTGTTTTATATATCTCACAATCAGTTTTTGACTTTATACCAATGTTATTTCACGACTCAAATGTAAAATCGTATGACGACAAGTGTGTCTAAACATTTACTTTTGCCTTCTTCTAAGTTACGGAATAACGTCTATTATTTTGGTCTCGCAACCGTGAGTCGCGATGTATAATACGCAAGATATGTACGTGATTTTCCAGAATAGAGAAAATAACTCACTGTTGGTGCAGGTGATAAAGATAAATTTTCCACTGTCGCCCTCAATTCGTCCACGCTAGCGCTCATGGGTGCACCGCCATTGCTGAGAGGCTTTATTTCCACTCGAATTTTACGTTCCCTTTCATCCTCTGAATCAGTATCTGAACTGGAATAGAACCCCTTTTCATTTTCCCACGGATCCGGCTTCGGTCTAATACAAAAACCGTCCTCGTCCACCTCCGGCGTCGGCGTTTCTGACTTTCTGCTGTCTTCCTTGTCCTCCCTATTGCGTTCATGACAAAATCATTTAAGATAATATACTTTTGTAAGTTTCAGCAGGCCCAGTGCATTACACAATAAAAACTTTTTCATGCTAGAAGCGTGCTAAAATAATAAAATTGTTGCGCTTATAGGCGTGATACGTGAGATAACTGAATTTAATGGGTATTAAGTATTGCTTTGATAAAGAAATGTATATGGATCCATAAATGCTTTCTTTCCAAATTTTGTAGTCTTCTAATCTTCAAATATAGACGTGAATTTTAACAGAAATTCAATACGACTTTACTGAGACGAAAAAAAAACAGCTTGACAACTGGTAAAGATTGTTTCGTTTTTCATTGTTGCTTAATATTGTACACAATATTATATACAAATCAACATATCTAAAGGCAAACAAATATAAAGAATCTGCTTTGGGTAAACATTGACGAAACAAACTGGAATAGGAGAGATTATTATATCTATGGTAATAAAGATTAAAACTGCACATCTTATCGTTATTCGGTATTTTCCATTTTCTAGATTATGCTATCATTCGAGCGACATCAAGTAATATTTACACATATAGAGTGACAATTAGAAAGTTACTGAAATTAAATAGCTATTATTTTGCATATAATAGTTGAACAGAATAAAAGAAGTTAAACATTCCACAGAAGAAACTAGTTATTCTTATCACTACATAGTGAAAAAGGAATATCCATGTATTTATCAAAATAAATATAAAAAAGGACCAATAATTTAGCTGGTTTTATGGATCAGTAATATGTTTTTGAAATGTTAATCGTCTGAACTTACAAAATAACAGGTAAATACTTAGAGTATCAGCAACTTCCAAATTATCCTATACTTGACAGTTTATTTGAACTTTAGCATCCAATAATGTACATCTGTAATATGGAAAAAAAGCATTTGCAGACTCATGTTCCAAATGTTTCAGATCTATCCCGTATATTCGTGATTGATAATAATAATTGATAGAAAATTATAATATGCAGTATCTTGGACAAACAAATAGAATATCCAACAACGAATCATTCCAAGTCTGAGATTCACATCCAGCAAAAGTATATTTAATGAACGTTAAAATCTTAGATGTGTGCATCTCTCTTTTAGAATAAGATAGACTTTGTCTGCTGGTTGTGAAACTGACTCTATGTGCACTAGGTCTGCTGTGCATGCATGTACTGACAGGTCAGACTTTTCTTCTTTGTTGCTGCTCGTGTCCACGAGGTCCTTCTTCTTCTTCGCCTTCTTCTCCTTTCGCTTTTCTCTCCTACTGCGTAGGAACCCTGTTGGTCGTGGACACCCCAAATGTAGACAATAGGACGGTATATGTACTGTGATATATGCACTAGCTACTTATTAAACGTATACTTTATGCGAATTATACTCTTACGGTTACACCAAATTATGAATTCATCTCTATCTGCGGAATTAATGTTCTAAATTCTTGTTAAATCCACTACACTCAAATATCTATATGAATACACTTATTGTTAGAAATAAATTTTAACATCTACTTTTATCATTTGCCATTACGCAAATAGAATTTTATACGAAGGAAAATAAAATATTTATATGATTTGATATTAGTACTACGAAAATATAATAGAAAAAATCCGATGTTAACATTAAAAAAGTATCCTAAGATATTGATGGCATTTCTACTAATAACACAACTAAACTACGTAGAAATAAAATGAAAAAAGGCGTAAAAACTACATGGTTGCATTACTATCTACACGAATATATGTATATCTAATCGAATATACAGTGTATAATTTGAACAAGAACTGCTACTGTTTGTATAAAAAAAATAAATAAATACGAATCATTATATTATACTTGGTTTCAACATTCGTAATACTTGGATGAGCGATACACAATATAATTATAGAAATCTAATGAGAAATGAAAATTAAAGAATTTACTTTCCAAGTGATCGAAACATGATCAGCGCAACATGATCAAACAACATCTAATACAAAACAAATCGACGTACGTCGTATTGATAACTATAACATTCTTGTATGCATTTCTAATTAATTAATTAACTTCCACATTCTCTGATAATGCAGACACGAGTTTCCTTACGAAGACGTACTTATTGCGCAAATATTAGAGTCATTTTTACCTTAATTTAAATCGTTATAAAGAATTCATAGCATTATTTCTAACGAATTAATCATAAATATGAATTTGTCAATCTAACGAATTTCTAATGTTTTTTTGTAAGTTTCGCCTTTCAAAGAAACGCATGTCAGCACTTTGTAAAACAACGACTAACATAAGTGAATACCTACGTCAAATAAAGGATGCGGTGAATAAAAAAGTGAAGTATACAGAAAATTCAGTAGTGAGAGAGAGAGATAGAGAGAAGTGGAGCACGTCGCGTTAGTACAAATATGAAGATATCCCACGCACCATCACCATCAAAATTCCTACAGTCTCTGCATCGTCTACTCTCTTCTTAAATTGTTTTTCTAACAATTACTAAACCTACATTGACACTATAATAAATGCATTTGCACATTCTTATGCACGCCTCTCTTAGGAAGATTGTACACACAGAGGGTGATGTCCTCTGCAAACCAATCTAACGTTGCATGCAAAAACAGTCTCGGATATTAAATGGGCAAGTGTTTAGAAGAACAATCGAAAGAGAAAGAAATGTTCTATATTCTATAAGAACGTAATCTACCAATTGAAAAAAACGTGAATTCTGCAGAAGATGCTACGGAAATGATCGTCATCGATGAAAACATAGCTCGGGATAATAGTTGCGTTCAGAATCATATCACGCTATTGGAAAAGAGAGAAAAATATTCCTGCACTTGGAAAATAAATGTAAAGGTATGAACACATGTGAGCCATGCAAATTAGGAATTTCATAAAAACGGCTCACCTGAGGCCCCGTCAGTAGCCAACCCCACTCTTGTATCTCAACATTATTCAAGTCCAACTCCCTTTAGTTTAGTCATACTTCTCTCTTTTTTTATTTCACACTGCACCGATGTTACACAATAAACTTTAGAAACAGAATTATACGCCGCAATCCGTGTAATTGTAAATCTATTCAGGACGTATTCATTAGTGGTACGTGTTAGCATTTGGATCACTTATGACGTGTAAAGAAGTTAGAAATATGAATTGTACGTCTTGCTATTGTATAACCCGTCCAGGTATCTATTATTGATTTTCTAAGACAAAAAAAAAGTTAAACGGGGGGAAAGACAAAAATAAAGTTGTGTTAAACACATCTTTTGAAATATATGAACAACAGGGCGTTATTTAATCTTTAATCTTCCGCAATTAAAAAAAAATATATATATATATAGATATATACAGAAGTTTAAAGTTTTATCGAATGTTGATAATGAATCGAATGCACTCGGTAATATAGTATTGTAAAAATTGCATAAATATATAAGAATTTTATAGATCTTCTTATCGTGGTTGTGTAAGATAACTGATGCAAATATTGTACATCGTCATAATCGGATAATGTTCCCACAGAGAGGATTGTTAGAAAAACAATTTATAGGTGAAACTTTATGAAAGTAATTAGACTCCCATATATTTCTAATGCTAGATATGCCTACGTTCTATACAAGCGTCTTCCAATGTTAGTAAAATATAGCAAATAAAAAATATTTCTTCTTTCATTCGAAATTATCTTTTCGATCCTCGGTCCACCTCAAACGCAGAAACAAATCAAAGTGAAGAAATATTTTGCATGGGCGTTATACGTGAAGCAGAAATTAATGTTACATTAAGATGTATGTATAATTAATTTGTTTGACAAAATATATATTTGTAACATTAATTTTAAGCGTTTGGACGAATGTTATACGTACATTGCTGTTCTAAAAGTGAGCACAGTGGAGGAATCATAATACGCGCAACCACTATAAGTCAGTAGATAATTTATTTCACCATATTACGTCCTGACCATAAAATATACGAGGTATTTAAAAGGAAGTAATGTCATTGTTACCGAGTACCATAAAGAGAGAACAACCGATAGAGAAACATTATAGATATAAAGATCTACGTGGGAAATGCTCGAATAAGACTGATATTATTACAAGTTAATAAAAGAAAATATCTTTTAATTTACGCATCGTAAATAACAGAATAAGTTTATCTGAGAATTTATGCGACAATATTTATGATTAACATTTTCAAATTAATAACTGACCATTCATATTCGAGCCAACATATGATAGATTGTCCGAGTAGATAATCAAATTAAAAATGTGACAATTAAGGCAACAGGTGAAAAATTGTGTGCAAAGTTATTTTACGTTTCGTACTCTTTAAATATCTTTAATAAAAGGAAGAGAAGGAGATAAGTAGAAACTCTGTACGAACAGAAGCGCGATAATCGTTAATGGTACGCCATATCAGCGACAATCAAGTACAAAGTTGATTATTTTATCAATGTACTCGGCAATTAACGTCAGTATCAGTAATCTCTAATGTATGTTGTATGTTTTATTCTAACAACAAAGTGAAAGGGTAGAGAATGGTAGAACGGGGTACAGGAATAAAATGTAAATTGTTACATTTAGATCCTCTGAGAGGGTTCCTGGAGATGCTGGGAGGTGGAACAGCAGGAGGCAGGTTGTTCCCTTGAGGGGTGGCAGGTGCCGAACCAGACGACCCTGCTTGCTTCTGTTTGTCTGAAACAACACTCATCATTCTCACGTCTTTGAATACCTCCCCGTCAACTGATGTCCCTTTTCTTTCTCTTGCTCCGTGTCACACTATTATGTACCGTTAGTTGTACCGATTCGAATTTTAAAGACCTTTGCACTTTCAGTGGCATTTCAAAGCGTTCCAGAGGGATGAGAATATTTTAAATGACCACATAATACCTCTGTCCACATATATTTTCGCATCTGGACATGTATAATTGTAGTAATACTTGACACACAAAAGCAGCTGCATAAAGACGTAAAAATCGGAGGCAGGATTAAATATTGTAACTGCATAAAGAAATGTAAAAATATAGTCATAATAAATTTTTCGCCAACACATGACAATTAGCCGCGCAAACCAAGTCATTTGTTCATTTGTTTACTTTTTGTGCTCAATGAATGAGCAAAGTAATATGTATCCCTAATATACGTATAAGGATAATTTGTAATATATTGTATGTAAGAGTATAATTAGCAACCAAACTGAAATAAAAAAACAAACCCCCTGGAACACAATGGTACTCTATACGTCATCCTCCACCTAATGTTAGATCGTTACGCAGAAGCAAGTATATGACACAACAACCACATAAGCATAAATAAATCGATAAAAATCGTACTGCGTATCGTATTCGAATTGATATATCTGTGATCGAGTGCTGCAATTCAATTGGGCAAGTGTATAAATGTGATCAATGATATGGTACTAACGAATATAAAATTAAAAACGGCAGAACAAGCCTACCCAGACATATGCAATGTTATGCCGATACTTGTTTTATGAATACTCACTGTGGATGATAACAAAATTAATTTCGTCGGAAACGATCAAAAGCATATCTGCCTTTCGTGTAAAAACATAAAGATGTGAAAGTATCAACGTAATGTAAAAATGTTACAAGAAATGGGAAGAAACATATCGCTTACGAGATGTAGCATCTCATTGCATTGAGCCAAGGTAGGTTCAAACTATTGCAATTAAAAAGATAATACAATTTTGAGAAAGTCTATGTAACTTCGATGAAAGAAAGAAAGAGAGATAGAGAGAGAAAGAAACCTACCCTGGGAGTTGGACATGAACAGGTTGAGTAGCGAGGTAGTACGGCGGGAAGCCTTGGTGGTTTGTGCATGTGACAGTTCTCTGTCCTTTTCCTTCTGTCTTTCTTTTTCTCTATCTTTTTCCAATATCACCCTCCCCCTGTCCCCATCCAGTACCCTCAAAGTACCACCTTCCCCCTTTAATCCCTGATCTTTTTTTGAACTGTGACTGTTACCGGCTACGCCTGTTTCGCCGTTGGTTCCCTTTGATGTTTCCTTAGGTGTCTCTACGCCGCCTTCCGACTGCGAGTGGCTGGTCATTTCCGCTAAACTCGTCATAACTTCCTCATACTCGATCACACCTAATTTACAAACGTCAATTTGCGTCAATGAATATCAAAGAAATGCAGAAACGAAAAAGAGTCTTCTGAATACTCTCTTATTCTTATTACCTGGTTTTTCGAAACCCGTGTATTTGCTCTGAACAAATTGCTCTAATAACTTCTCCACCGTCATATCGACGCATTGCCGTTTGAAATCGATATGCACCTGGCCGACCTGCTCGTGATTGGTTTGCAAAACGTCAGCGTACGTATTGAGAAATTCCTTCATGTGCTTCAGATGCGTCTCTTCCACATCTTGGAACCGCTTGGTAACGAAAACGTACATTGATTAGTACGCCTCGCTAATCGCCTGCACAGCAATATTATCACGCAAAAGCCTAACTTCTAACGTTTTAATCCAGAATTAGTACCCTGCAAGCCTGAGTCATTTTTGCCTCGAAGTCGTTTCGTATGATCGTGTACTTGTCCACCAGTGTCCTGTAATCATCTTGTGCCTTTTTGAACTTGCCCTCCGCCTTCTCGAGCTCCCTCTGACTGGCATTGTCCTTCCTCAATTTCTCTAATTCGAGGCGCTTTTGCATACACATGTCCTTCGCTTTGTGTAACGTTACCGTAATGCTCTGTATACTTTGTACAACTTCTAAGGTAGACGATTCTTCTTCCTTCACCTAGATGTGTCGATACATAATGTACGTTATTCTCTAGTTAAACCATTCTGATTACGAATTAAAGTAAATAAATTTGATGTCCATGCGCAATTATAATTATATTCGTGTGCATGCTACGGTAGATAGGACCACTGCATGCACATTGCCGACTTGATTGCCTGACGATGAGAACCTACTGATCCAACAGTGTGGGCGGATACTGATAATTTATGGGACACGTATCTGACATATTTTACAAAGCATGGCAATCGTGAAAAAAAAAGATAACGCCGTATCTTACTTTGTGACACCGCAATCAAATCAATGAGAAGAATATTAACATTCAGCCAACAAGTTAAATAGGAAGCAATTACGTACAGCCTTATGTTTCTTGTGTAGCTCGTCCGCATATTTTGACACATCTTTTATGAGTTCGGAGACTCGCTGGGCCATTTGGAAATGTAAAACAGCGAGTTTCTCGGCGGCACCTCTCAAGGCGGCCCATACAGGTGCGAATGTCCCTTGTGTGCTATTGCTCGCCTGTTTCGCTACCTTACTGAGGAGTTTATAATTGTTTTCCTCTATGGCTGATCTCTCTCGCAAAAATTCAGCCAATTCCTTGCTGGCGATTACACCATGCTTCATGTTATGATATAACACGTCAAATCCATTATTCTTTTCGCCCTTAAATAGTAAAAAGATAATACTTCAATATCTCCTTTAATTAAATCTAAAACTCGATTCGTCAAACTTAAATCGCTTCTTAAAACAATGTTTACTCCAGTTTAATTGCTTTAGGGGTCCCATTTATTTTCATGGTTCAGTGAGAAAATATTATTTTGTGAATGGATTGAATGAAATGTACGACATTTTGAAATTAAAAATGTATTTATTTGTTATTTTTTGTCTAAATAAAGACAAAATTTTCAACTTCTCTTCATATCTTCCATACAAAGTTTACGATCACAAAAGTTTAATCTGACATACAAAACTCAAATATACTTACATATATTTTTTGAATACGTACTATTTAACTGAGAAAGGCAGCAGATTTTGGCTTTTCATAAAAATTGACATTTTGAAAAAAATTGTTTTAGAAGACAGAAAAAAGCACATAATTTTGTGGAAAGACATGTTTTCATATCTACCTTTATTACATTCCAATAACTATAGTATACATTTCAGATCAAGCCTTTAAGAGTTATGCTGCACACTGTCCAAAATGTAACGTTAAACATTTCACAAGAAAGAAATGTTGAATGAAATATAAAGAAATTGAAGATTTGTCTCCATTTTATAATTTTTTAGGTCTAAAATTATATAAATAAATACATTTTTAATGTCAAACTGCTATACATTTTATTTAATCCATTCCTAAAGTTACGTTTTAATTATTACATCAATTTATATACAGGATGCGTCACACAATTGGATTCTAATACCTTGAAGATAGCAAGAAATGGTATAAGCACAAGTGGTGTAATAGTATAATAATGTCTATTTGGTATAATAATGTCTATTTTTCTATTGATTCATTTTTTTCGTAAGTGCAACAATGCGCACGAAATTTCATGAGATATTTGAAATTTCTGAATGAGGCATATGTTTTATTCAAGGAAATATTCAAATGTTCCACCGTTATATAACGAACATTTTGTGATTCGTTTCTTCATTGTACAGTATCAAGATTATCACTATTTACGTTTAAGCAATTTATTTTAATCTGTTCTTTTAAGGAAACAAATAAACACAAATACACATTATCTTTGAGATAACTCCATGAAAAATATCTTGTAAAACATTTCTTTTTCGAGCACACCTTATCTTAATATTTTTATATACAGAATGTTCAAAAGAATTTATTTATGCAAAAAAAAATTTATTAAAGAAAAAGTACAATTTCCCTTTTCTAGTGCAGCGTTGCATTTCCAAAAAAATTAGTCAATAGAAAAATAGATTATTATTAGCGATGGGATTAAATGCGTTATAATAAGTAGATTCGAATATGTATAGTTTCGAACTTTCTATAATTACTTTGAAAAATAAAAGCAATACTTTCTGTAAAAGTAGAGTCGAATCAGGACGAAATGATTCAAATCTATGAGTACCTTAAAAAACTAGAGTATTACTTCGAAATGGACTCAAATCTAGATCAAATATGTTCGAATCTTTTACGAGATTCACTAGAAATTTTTACGTTCTTTTGAATCAAAACGTTTGTATAAAATGACAATTTTTTAATGGAAATATCCAAGTTTCGATAGTTTTTAAATTGCCATCGAAAAAGGTCTTCGATATTAAAGCAGAATTAAAGCAGACGGATAACAAAGATATATTCTTTAGTTAATTTCAAAAATGGATTTTAATAACATTTTAACTTAAAACTTAATAAAGATACATAATGTTTAAAATGGAAAGTATGGAAATGCAATGGCGATAAGTAACAAATTTCCTAGAAATTTTCGCTGAGAAAAAAATCAACTTTACACTCATCAGAGAATTTATAATTGAAATTAATGTAGCAAATGTAGCATATCTTATAGATATATGTATACGTAAATGTGCATGTGTTTTAAATTTAAAAATCCGAAAATTGGACAAGGTATAAAGAACGATAGCGAAAAGTTGTACGGATTATCATTTTTCTATCGGAAAATCGTACAAAAATCCTGCAATTAGAATTACGACCGAAATATATGCATTGGAACGGTACTTAAGACCACTTAGCCATTTAACACTTGAACTCTGCAGATCACGCGGTAAATCCACATTGAGCAGAACCGCTCGAGTGACGTCGCCGTAATAAGCTGTTATTACGTATTATTGCCCTTGTCATCCTATTGTACCGATTACTCGCGGCAGTTACACGTCTCAATTTCTGCTCTGATTTTATTGTGAAAGAATCTTTCGTAAACAGCCCGCCAATGCCTGATATTTTATATCACGTTAGAAATGCAGGATACTCGCGGTGTTAAAAAAAGGAAGTGACAATTATCTTATCTCGACAATGTGCGTTCTGAAAGAAAGAGTTGCAGATAAATATGTACCATTGGTCAAATAAATTTGTAATGCCCTTAAAAGAAGCCTCTCATGACGAAACGTGAGTAGTCAAATTTATCCTTTTAACAACGTCTCATGCTTCTTTGTAATAATAATAGCATAGAAATAAATAATTGTCTAGATGTGTATTTTCTTTACATTTACCATTAACGTATACCTACATATATTCATAGTACATAAATGCTATTATGTACTCAGCTATACATATAAAGGTATACGCACATTTGTAAAACTCTATGGCTCTGGTATTCATAATAGTCCAATCTTATATTCAAGATCATCTTAAGATGTCGTACGAGACAGTACGGTCATTTCATCGGTTAAATGTTTCAAGACTGCAGATGACGTAAGACTGCACAAGACGATCTTGAATGTAGAGCTCCGTCTAGACCAAGTATAACATTGTTGCCGACATTGTAAAAAAACAAAAATGTATAGGAACCAAATGTGGCTGATGAAATTGTAGTAACTACTATTTTTATTATTAAATTTATATCTGACATAATCTATTCGATAATTACTACGTTTACGCGAGCGTTACACTGAAAAAAATATTTGTATGAAATTACTACTTTTACTATTTTAAAAATCACTTGTAGTTTTAAATTTAGCGGTATTTTCACAACGATGAACGAAAAAAAAACAGTTTTATTTCATGAGAAATTACATATAATCTGCAATTTTCAATATAAGAGTGATATTGCATGATTATGCTGGGTCGGAAAAAACCATGCAATATTACTACTTATATTGAAAATTGCGGATTATATGTAATTTTTCATGAAATAAAACTGTTTTCTCTTCGTTCATCGTTGTGAAAATACCGCTAAATTTAAAACTACAAGTGATTTTTACATAAAAATAGTAATTTCACCTATATTTTACCATTAATATATACTTTCACTTTAAAAAATCTAGGGAAAAAATTACAGTAATAATTAGATAATTTTTTTATTTCAAATATGTAATTTCCATATAAAAGTACATGGATTTTTTTCAGTGTACTTCTGTAGTAACTTACGATAATTCCTTCGCGTATCTTTTAACGAGTGAATAAACGAGTAAATTATCGTAAGTTACTACAGAAGTAACGCTCGCGTAAACGTAGGTAGTAAATGTATCTGACATCAGTCAACTACTTTTTGCTATCGCATTTTTTAAATGTTAGTGACATTAATATCAAGATAAGTGATGATGATTTATTAACTCTTTCTGCTGCTTGTATAGTTATATTAAGTAAGAAAACTTCTAAAAAAATAAGGATTTAATTCAATTTTAAAACGCGAAAAAAATATATTAGTAATTTTTTATTAAATAAACTAAAATATGATAGCAGAGATTTTTGTTAGGAAGTTGAAAAACAATGGTAGTTTTTAAAATTTTATGTCCCGTTCTGAGATTACGAAGATGTTATCGAATTGTTCTAAATTATTAATACATTATTGGAAAATATAATGTAACGATATCGCAGACCAAAATTTTCATGTACATTCATATATCGACGACATTAATCACAGACATTCTTTTGATTTTTATACCACCTCGAAATCAAAAACATAAACTTATAGATAATATAGTCATCGACACGATCTCACCCACATTCTTAAATTGCTTTCAACATTTGTCGACAACAATGTAGCTCACAATTTCTTGAATTTAAAACTGAATTTTGTCAAATAAGCGATACATCAGGTTTCTGACAATGTTTCGTTTCAGTCTGAACGACGTTTAAAATCGAACTATAAATACTGCCCTATGAATGTTATTGCAATGCAAATATTAATAGCCCTACGTTATTCGTACAGGATATAAAAAAACATCGCAGCCTTAACACTTTGACTGTCAATGACGGAAATATCCGCACATTCAATAAAAGATACTTATACCGGAGCAATTAGAACGGAGCAATTAGATACTATATTTTTTTATGTTTTTGGGATTGCTGAACTCAAATCTGAAATCAAAATTGCGAAATTCGAAAAGGCCGATTCAACATAGCGGATTAAAAATGCAAAAAATTGTTCGATTCGCATAAAAATTTGAATTTAAAGGTTTTTTAAATTGGTGATTTTAAATTCAAAATAAAATGTGAAGGGTTTAAAATGATAATAGGCAAAAAGATTTTGATACTAATTCCGTTTTGAAAATTGAAAATTGTTTATTCATTATGACGGATTCAATATAACGGCCATAAAATTAAAAATATCTTTCGGTTTGCATAACAATTTATTTATAAGAATTTTTATAACTTTTTCTGCCATTTTTTGACCTCAGATTTAGATTCAGCAACTCAAAAAACTCCTAGAAAGTATCCTTTTTATAATTTTATTAACTCTTTTTTATCAAAAGCATTTTTGACTCACAAGCATTTTTTTCATCTAACATCTAAGAGGTTAAAAACCTACTAAATTCACAGAGTAGAATTCATCATCAATCGAATGCTGAAAAACTTTTGCACTTATATTAACCTAGAAAATATATAGAATGCTATCAAATTATTTAACTTAAATTCATTAAACAGAACAACGAAAAGTGAGATCTAATGTTGGGGTGTAAAATACACACTTCATGCGAGTATTTACTATAAAAAAAAAATTACTGTGTAATGTGAGGTTGACGACATTGAGCAATTAGTGAAATTAGATTCTGTTGATATCTCTTTAACATTGAAACAGATTTTTAATGTCTCATTGTCAGCTCGTTACGACCTAGTAAAAATTTTCTTTGCGTACAATCTCCGGCGCTCGTTTGAAGATTTACGCCGTAGATATACTACGCGCAAGTAACACGCGTGAATACTCCCGCAATTAGAGGAGGCTAATTACGAGATAAAAATAAACGGTATAAACACGGCGAGGGAAACCGATGCGCGGCAGGTGTCCTTCAACCGCGTGCGTAAAAACGCGTAGTTCAGACTTCGCGTATGGCAGGCTGCACAAGAATGCGGCGCACATGTCAATGAGTGTCGGATCGGATATTTTTTTTCTATTCACGCGTGTTTCACGTAACGAACGTTTTGTCCCGCATGTGGGAAGTGGGAAGGTAGGGGCACGTACGATAGAGGTAGACGGAGGAAGAATGAGGGGAAGAAGTGAAAGGATGAGGGGTAGGGAAGAGGTGGAGAGAGGGAGGAAAAAAGAGGGGAAAGAAGGGGGAAAACTAAAAAAATTTTGATTTTCAGTTAAAAAGTATGTCTAAAGTGTGCTCCCTACATGCTAAGTGTTACAAGTCTATATGCAAAATTCGCTGCACTGGAGCAGAAGTGTCGTTACTCTTTTAAACCGATTAAGTTGCGGTCGCTGAATGAATAATAGTGTCATAAGTGAATTGACAAGTGAATTACATGCAGCAGACGTCTTCAAAAAACAGTATAAGTTTCATTATAACAAAATTTCGTGATTGCAATTGCGTTAGTTATCTCACAATTAAAAAAAAAATTGAATTAAATTCGTTTTTCCTCTCTCTCCTGCAAATTGTGAATTTTTGAGTTGTGACAATATTCTTCTCGGTGTGCAATATGTGTATATGTATATACACATACAGGGTGTCCCAAGAGGAAAGGTCACTGCTGCATTTGTGCGATATTTGTGAAGATGTGCAGCATTTTTAACAACACTTTTACAATCTCACTATCAGCATGCAGTCACAACAGTCTACCGTGTAAAGCATGTATCTTTCTTATCAGTAATTTTGCAACTGTACATTCAAATAGCTTGGAAACCGTTCGGAATATATAGGACACTCGGTTATGTGAACATTTTTGCTTAAAATGACCGATACTGTCACCTTCCAGAGTAGTGACCTTACCTCCTGGGACACCCTGTAGGCGCCAACGGCGTGCGACAGCGTCGAAAACCAAGAAGACGTCTCGGGTCTCGGCCTCGGCATGCAACGAACGTTACGAACGAGAGAAAACGATAAACGAGAGAGACAGGAAGGGGACGAAGGAAAAAAGATTTCATTGACGAGTATATCGCCGTCGCCCGGTGCATGGTATTGAGAGGAATAACGATCGCGCGGGGCGCGAGGGATCGGGCAGGGCAGGGCCGAGGAGAATCACGACGGCGAGGCGATCCCGGCGGACGGGTGACATTCTCCCACGACATAACCTAAATTCACGCGCGCTGACTGACTGGCGAAAGTGACGTTTCGCGTTTCGCGTTCGCCCGTTGGCGAATTGGACGAACACGGGACCGGGGACAGGGAGAGAAAAAAGCAGAGGCGGCGAAAAAGAGAGATATATTCGTTACTTTACATCACTCACCCAGAAATAGTCGACAAAGTCCACGGTCATGTTGAGACCGCGATCAGATCATTATACTACCTCACCTCGGCCTTCTGTATATATCGGCACGAGTTGCACCGCGCTCGTTTTTTTTCCCCGCGTAGCGCGCGCACAGCACTACTTACTGCTCTTCGCGATAGGACGCGACGCTCGAGAACGCGATACCTCGATTCACTAAACGGCGGCAAGCGGCAACTCGGAGTAAAGTTTGCCTGCCAGAGAATCGCGTAGTGGAACGGGCACAGTGCACAGTGCACACTAGAGTACAGAAACACGGGTCAACTTGCGTCGACTATCTCCTGCTATCTCCGTCTGCCGCGTCGCTCTTCCTCCGTCTCCGTCTGTTCCTCTTCCCTCCTCCTCCTCCTTCTCCTCCTCCTTCGTGGCCAGCTCGCTCCTCCTCGTCATGCGCTAAGTTTCTTTTTTTCTTGCATGCGCGCGCACGATGCTGCAATTGCTGCGCGACTGTTCGCCTCTGACAACGCTGACAACCAAGCAACCAATGGGAGCTGAGTTTCTCATCTCGAAGACGTAAAGTCCGAATTGTGGATAAATACAGTAAATTTTTTCTGACAACAAACTGTTATTATAGATAATTATAGATTTAATGTGACATAAAAATTTGTAATTTATTATTATAATAGATAATTAGATTCAAATTTTAATTAAACGTTGTTCAACTATGCTTTTTGAGCGCGGCTACTATTGGCGCTCGCGCTGGTCCGTACTACGTTTTTATTGGTTGCTTACTATCAGACTGAGAAAATCTATGAGTGCATGACCAATAGCATAACGCTTACTGAGCTAAGTAGCAATAGAATGTGATTGGCTTTTACCTTTGGATCCAACGAATCACATAAATCACATTTAATTGCTACTTATGGCTCCTGCACACGGGACGCGGAAATGCTTGCCGCGCGAAGCTGCGACGCGTTAGCCAATAAACTTTTGGTTCTTACGGAAAAGCGCACGTTAATTGGTTATCGCATCGCTTCTTGCCGCGCGACAAGTTTTTCTGCGTCTCGTGTGCAGGAGCCATTAACCGTTTAGTAAGCAGCACTGAATCCACCCTATAGTTCACGTGTTACGTATATTATAGATATATTATAGATATATTATTATAGTATATTATAGTATATTATAGTTTTCAATGCAGAGTTATGTTATTCCATTTGTTTCCCTTATTTTATATCAAAATCACAAATTTGTATGTCTTGAATTAAAAATATTTTAAAAATACATAACTTTTTTGCAATATAAAACGTAATTTTTCTTGAATTTTTAAAACTTTAAATAAAAACTTTAAATTTTTTAATGTTTATACATAATTTTACAGTTTGACGATTTTGACCAAGTATCAACAATTGGCGATTTTTGGCATGATTCTGGTATAAGGGACCAAAGGGTATAACCAAACTGCACTAGAACCAATAGCAACTACCGATATGTACCAAACCATACCAAACAATCGCCAAAAATCGCCTATAGTGATTGTTCTAATTACGATGCCCATTTACATTTAATTTGTTTAACACTAACAATAATTGTACGATATGGTATAATAGATGATGACTTTCAACCATATGTTGATGAATAAAACAAGGGATGCGTTTACAATTGGTGCATGGCATAAAATAGAAAAAATAGCTTCGCACATTTTACAACATTTTATAAGTAGGACCGTATATTTATTTAATTAATTGTGTTTATAGAAAAAATATAATTGTTCAATGTCTAGCACAGAATAATTTACTAATTTACTTCTTTTCTAAGCTAAATCATCCATATACACACTATTATACCAAATATTATACCAAATCATATACACTAATATATGTATGTGTATTTAGGTTGCGGTTATACATTTGATGCTGCAAATTCTTCGAAGCGTTCTTTATCTTCCTTTTCTCATTGAAAGAAAGGAGAAGAAGGATGCCTTCGAAACATTTGTAGTGTTAAGTGGACCGTAGCCTTAAGTCACATAAAATCTTTATCTTTCTCCGCCTGGTTTTTGGCCTGTTCTGTAGCGACACAAAATTCAAACGACTTGGCGGCCCGCCGAACGACAGCGCGGCTTCGAGCCGAACACGGCCGTACATAGCCGAACATGCACCATGGCCCATAGGCGCGCACACAGTGGCGCGCACGTGTACCCTACGTACAGTGATACAGTCTGTATATAGAGTGGAGAGTGGAGTAGAACAGGGTAGGAAAGTTTCGGTCGTGTTATCAATCGTCGTCTCCCTCCTTCATCGCTGGACCGCTAAGCTCGTTCTCAGTGATCGTCGTTGACGCCTCGTACGGCTCATCATACGGCGTTGACGATAAAGGACGATTAGGAGTAAACGATGCCCGCGAACAAATCGAACCTATCGACGCCTCGTAAGGAGAAGTCCGGTGACAAGCTCTACACCCTCACCACTTCTGCCACAGCTAACGCCAACAAGAAGAAGAAGCGCTCCTCCTCCTTCGTTAAGCATAAACATTACGCGCAATATCTGGTGAGTGTGAGCAATGAGTTAAAAGAAAACAAAAAGGAAAAATAATAAAATGTATTGTGACACGAATCGAACGGCCATATACATGAAGGAACGCCTCGCATATCCGCTTTTATTAGACGTTAACGATCCATGCAACTTCGATCGATCGTTCCGAGAATTGCCACGGCGCGATCCACCCTCCTCGAATACGTGGTATTTCGCGTGACTAATTCCCCCATTGTAGGATGTTATATGGGAATAAAGACGATAACCCAAAGGTTAGGGCCGCTTACTAGGGGAATATCGAGTGTTATTGACCCCAAGCGGTATGTATGACTCGGTCATCGTGACTGCGCGAGGAGGGAAGCGCACCCTCTTGCTTGCAATTCGCTTTCTATTAATTCCTTTTGCATTTTTTACACTTTGCTCTATACTATTCTTTTTTCTCTTTCTTTACATGAAGAATTAAATATATAAATCCCTTTTTATATAAATAGAGAGAGAGAGAGAGAAAGAAAGAAGAGGGTGAAGGAGAGATCGAGAGAGAGAGAGAGAGAGAGAGAGAGAGAGAGAGAAATCTATTGTCTCTATAGATGAGAGAAGAGAAGAAATGCTAAAAAGTATAGCTACAAGTGTAGAAAATTGTACAAACTGTTTTAATTTATTTTATTTAGTTGATATCATTTTTTACATTTGAACCCTGAAAATGTACTATTTTATTTTAAAGGCAAATAGATATAATTAAAATTAACAAACCTATTGTCAGTCCTACTGTTATTAAAATTTGCTTAAAAAATAAATTAAAAACGTTAAAGTAATGCTCCAAGCACATCTTACTCTCTCTAATTAAAGCAACCATCTTTCTCTACCTGGAAGAAGTATAGTGCAAAAATAATTATTAAGAAATAGGTATAATTTAAAGGCATAAAAAAATTAATAAAATTACAATGAAGAAGATCAAGTGTATTGAATGAGAAATAACTTTTTTTTAGCGGAGAACAAACGAATCACATTAAAAGCAAAAAATTAAAAGAGAGCAACCGTATTCAATAAAGATAATTTTTTAGTGAGCAACAAACACAAGTTAGATGCAAAACATGAGCAGAATGCGTAAAACTAGATGTACATAATAAGAGTAATTAAAAAATCGCAATTTTTTTAACATTATCAGTTTGATTTATAAGAAAATGTACATTAATTCTTCTATTTTCCGTGAATTTTGAATATCTTATAATATAGAGATCAAAATAAAAGATACGTACTTTTATAAGTGCTCCTATATACATATATTAAAGGAATGAAATATATCCCCATAAAAGAATCAATTTACTATGTTTAAGCGTGTGTCGTTAAAACGAAAAAAGATATGAACAATTGTTTTAAACGAAAATTCTATAGGTGGTTTCAAAGACATTTCTTAGTAAGTATTAAATTTTTTCAAAAATATATTTTTCAATATTACTTTATCTATTATCATTTTTGAAAATTTTTTATACATTATTATACATTTAAATGCATTTTTTAATACCTATAACCTTTAATTTTGTGATAAATTTTTTAATTCTGAAAAACGATAGTGCGATATATTTTAAAAATATAGCATTGTCGTAAATTAAAATACATCTTTATAAGTGACCATAAAAGCATGAAAATTTTATTTAAAATATATTTTTTTACATCTCAACGATATACGTGTATAATTTATATAAGTATAACGATTTTTTTCAAGATGATATTTTATCTCTTTAATATGCATAAAAACACAGAAAACTCGTGTACGTATCTCTTAGTTTGATCTGCATTATAATACATCCAAAGCTCATTAAAATCAAGGGGGGGGGGGGCACGTATGTTTTTTTACTAACAATCGTACGCATCGGATGCATCCATTCATAATATTCCTCATTTTCTCTCTTTCTCATTATCCCATTCAATATTCGCTCTTTTTCGACATCTGTAGCGCGTTACTCGTACGCCGCTCATTATTGCGCTCTCACTCGCTCCTTATCAGTATTTTCAGCGCGTGACGTCATTCTCCATACTCATTCTTACGTATCTTTTTACCTCAAAGGTAAATGATCAATGTGCAACTTTCGTTTGTTACGTCATATTTGTGATACATTCATGAAGACCAAAGTGTCGCGTAAGTATTATACATAGTTTTTATATTTGAATACATAGTTTTCATATTTGATAGAAAAATTTCAATTTTTAATTTTTAATTTATTTCATAATACTATTACAATTTTAATAAAATTTTGGTTATAACATGGAATGTTATGATAAAATTCAATGAAAATAATACATAAATGTATAGAATTTAATGCGAAATGCTATATCGCATTCTTTGATAAGTATCGCGTTTATATCCATATATCGATATTATCACATTTCTCAATATTTTGAACAATTTTGATTTGAATGCTATTTTGAAGATTAAGGGCCAATTTCATCACCGTCGGTTAACTAAGATGAAATTAGCCCTAAGCACCATTACCGAGAGTTATGACTAGAATCTGGAATCTAGATTCTAGAATTTAGATGAATGGGATAGAACGTGGTTTGACTGTTCGCGCTGAACAAGAGAGTTAGGAGAGCTACAGTCATCTCACTCTTTTGGTCATCTCTTGTACAGACGGCGTCATTAATGCCTTCCACCTGAAGGCATAGTTCATGTAACGTGCACTATAGAAATTCCCAGAACACAGCTAGGAAAGCATTAATGACGCCGTCTGTACATTAAATAGCGTTTATCACAAATGATTAGGTGATCTACACGCTAAATAGATCCGAGATTAATATTGATCAAATTTTAATTTTATCTACTATTTAAATTTTTTAAATCTTTAAGATTATAATAAAATATATTATAATGAAAAATACAAAAAAAGCTATTTACATTTTATAGACATTAATTCACAATACATTTTTAATATAAATATATAAATGTAACAATAGTATATTTTATGTATATTTTTATTATTTATTCCATTTTTCAATGATTATCTTGTATTATCATGAAAATTGCAATTACCTAATAGATATAAAGTGTATAGGTTACTTATTTTTTCTTTTTTTAGATTGGAAGAAATATCTGAAACTACTGAAAGTAACTTTTATTTAAAAAAGACTAACAACCTCTCTAATAATTGCTCCAAGAGCAGCAGTAGCAGCACAACAATAGCAGCAATATTAGCAATAACATTAGGAAAAAGCAATGAAAGATAATAACAGCAGTAATAAAAGTAATAGCAATTAATCCAGCTATAAAAATTGTAGCAGCAGCAATAGCATATGCAATAGCAAAAGCATGTAAAGTAGCAACAATACATTAGCAGTAGCAGTAGCAATATTATAGTAACAGAAAATAATAAGAATAACAGTAATAGCAATAATAGCAGAAATAAATTTAGTGATGTATGATATAATATGTCTATTTTTAATGCAGTTGTATACTATTATTATTATATTAATTATATATTATACAATTACTATTACTGATATTTATTTATTCAATTCTTTCAGAAGACTTCTGACAAAGAAGGGAATGTAGGCGGACGCGTGTCTATTAATTTAGTCAATGAAGCTGCAATTATCAGTCTTGTGATAAAGGAAGTGGCTGACACAGTCGAGAGGATAATTTAATAACTAATCAATGCACACCTGTTTTATAATTTTTATATTTAATATCTTTGTTCCTTTAAATTTTAAGAATACTGTTTTACTAAAATTTAAATAATATTAAATTATTTTTATAATATTGTTAGTACATTTTATATATACATTTGTATAAATATATATAAATTATTTATTAATAACTTATTTATTCTATGCGAATATATTTATTATACTTTATATTATGTCTGTATAATATTGTTGTACTTGTATTATATTTTTATATAAATATTAATATAATAGTTTTTATATCCTCAGATTATCTACTGTTTCATTCATATAATCCTTTCAATGCCTATGTTCTTACTAATCGATGTATATCATGAATTTTTTAACATTTTTCTTAATATCGTTCATTTATTATCCAGACTAATTTAACAATTTGGTTGTTTCTGGTTTTTGTTTTCATTTTCCTTGTTTATTTTTAATGTTATTTTAATATGTTTATTTTTATTATTTATTTTTAATATTATATAATGTTATTTTTAACGTTATCAGTAAATAGTCTGTTCAAAAAGTTTGTATACTTATATTTATTGAAGAATATGCAATATTAATTTATAAATGTTTCTTGATATTTGAAGTTACTTATTTTTATTTGTTATTTATCCTCAAACTTAATATATTTTCATCTTTATTGCCTTATAACCATTGTTTATGTAATATTGTCTTATTTATTAATATAAATTTACTTTAATTTGTTTGCTTCACTAACTTTTAATATATAATAATTGGTATAATGATTATTGTGCTTATTATTTCTGTAATGAAATACTGCACTTATAGCTAATTAGCTCCAATATATATTTTAGGGAAATTTTTGATATTATATTTTGTAACTCTGGGTATATCTTTAAATGAAATAGCATTAATGCTACTTAGCACAATAACTATAGGGTGATTTAGAACAAACATTTATCCTTAAAATGTCATATTTCTGACTTAATTCTGAGATGATTTATCTTTTTTTAAAGGACGATAGGTAAAATAGGTCGATTTCTGTCTAAAAAGTGTAACGTAAGTTATACATGTAATCTTACGTTTTTGGGTCGCTAAATACGATGGTAGCATTTTTATCCGTCTAAACCCGGAGAAGTAATCAAAATTCGCTTTAGAGGGGTCGAGATAAGTCACTTTTAATATATATAGTAGTAGGGGAACCCGGGGCATAACGGGACCACGGTGCATAATATAGTCGATAATTTTTTACTGAGATACTGCCATGTAGTAATAAAATGTTTTGAAATTATACTCTTAAATGTCTCTAACCGCGTGTTGTTATCAGTTCTGATAATTTAATTTTCAACGTCATTTTTCACACCTTAAGTTCACAATTTTGCTAAGAA